TCTTTTGGAATTTCCGGTCGTTCAGTGCGATTTTCGTTTATCTATCGGAGAACCTTTTCAGCTTTTTCCTTACATTTATCGCTTACCGACTGGTATAATAGTTTGAGCTCGTGAACACGCTTTTGGTTGTATTGTTCATATACGTCCTTACTTAATTCGATATTTGTTACATTTGTTCTGTTGAAAGGAGTATAGATGAGTGACTGGGGACAAAAATTCGTTGAACTATGGACACTTTGATTATAATTCAAAATCGCGGTCATCATGAGCTCCTTTATATCTGTTTTCGGGTTTTGATGCCTTAAAGCACTTAATTTTTCTTTAAGGGTACTGTGGAACCTCTCAACGGGAGAATTAGATGAAGGACTCTCAGGAGTGGTAAAATGGACTTTGATTTTATGTAACTCGCAGAATTCTTTGAAAGTTCTGGCTGTGAATCCGGCTCCGTTATCACATGTTATTTTTACAGGAATTCCATGATGGCTGATAAAATTACGTAGTTTTTCAAGCAAAGTTATTGAATTCTCATCAGTAATATGATAGGCCTGCCCATATTTAGAAAATAAATCCAAAATAGTGAAAAACTTGTTGCTATCACTTTTGAAAGTATCAACGTGAATAATTTCGAACGGGTATTTTGCAATTAGCGGCCCTTCATACGGCGGTTTGTAAGGATTTCTATCGTATTTAGCTAAATTGCAGGTCTCGCAGGAATTGATTAATGCGTTTATAGAATTTTTCATGTTGGGCCAATAGTACCTTAGTTGAAACGTCTTTAGTGTTTCTTGAATTCCGCTTTGATTTTTTGAGTGATATTCTTGGACTAATCTTGTTTGTTCCCCTTCGTCGGTGATATCTAAAAGTAGTTTATTTGTAAAAATTAGATGAACCTCGGGGTCAAACAGGGAGCGTACCAATTGTGTGATAATTGGTTTCAAGGGTTCATTATGACAGAAGATACCATATGTATTTCTTGGATCGACATACTCGATAAGTGTTTGTGATATCTGAGAATGTAAACCATCGGGCGAAAGCGTCACATATAATCTGTATTTATTTTTGAAAATCTCCTTTCTGGTAACCAAAATTTTGAACTCAAATTGGCATTTAAAATAATTCAGTGGATTTTCTGAAAAAGGAAGTACATTAATAGGGTGCTCGTAATCATTATTGTTCATCGTTCCCGATCTAGAAGGCTTGTATGAAGATGACTGATCAGAGTGTTCTACTTCCCGTTGTATAGAAGTTTGGTTAGTTTCACGCTTATTCTCAAGACATGCTCTTACTAAAGGAATCTGAAGATATTCAGAATTTTCCTTAGATGTACAGGCTAATTGGTCATCCACGGCGTTAAGTTCTGCCCTTGATAAAGCATCAGCGACGCAATTTTCTTTACCCTTTTTATAAAGTATATCATAGTCATATTCTTCGAGGCGGACCTTCCAGCATGCTAGCCTGGATACCGGGTCTTTCAGATTAAATAGCCAAGTCAGCGGTTTGCAATCTGTTTCAATTACAAATTTTTTTCCATACAGATAAGGGCTAAAATATTTTACAGAATCTACGATTGCAAGCAATTCCCGCTCCGTTGCGCTATAGTTACTTTCGGCATTATTTAACGTACGAGAATAAAATGCCACGGGGCGGTCCTTCTGGGAAAGGACAGAACCAATAGCTACGCTACTACTATCGGTTGTCAGTTTGAAAGGTTGCGAAAAATCAGGGTAAATTAAAACTGGCGAATTTGTGACTAAGTCTTTTAATTTTTCAAATGCCTGAATATATTCCCTATTCGTGGTCTCTAATATGGCACCCTTCTTCAACATTCTAGTCATTGGTTGCGCGATGCGAGAATAATCTTTGATAAATTTTCGATAGAATCCGGTAAGACCTAAGAACCCTATAATTTGTTTTGTGGTCTTTGGAATAGGAAATTCCACGATTGCTTTTATTTTGTCTGGATTGGGTTTTATTCCTTGTTCGGTGATAACGTGACCTAAGAACGGTACCTCTTTGCGGATAAATTCCGTTTTATCTAGCTGTACCTTTAGATTATAGGTTTTCAATTTTTTAAATACGAATTCTAAGTGTTGAATGTGCTGTTCTAATGATTTGGAATATACCAAAATATCGTCCATGTAGACAATACAACTTTTATACAACTGGTCACAAAGAACGTCATCCATTAAGTGCTGAAATGTCGCCGGAGCATTTCGCAAGCCAAAAGGCATCCGGACATATTCGAGATGCTGATTATTTACCGTAAAGGCTGTTTTCTCAATAGATTCAGGATCCATCGCAATTTGATGAAATCCTCGAGAGAGGTCGATTGTCGAAAAAAAATGAGCATTTGCCAAGGTTGTCCAGAATTTCGTCAATTCTGGGCAATGGGTATTTGTCCTCTATAGTTTTAAAATTTAATTTCCTATAATCGATGACATGTCGAAATTTACGCTGACCGGATGCGTCCAAGCGCTTCGGGACGATCCATACCTGAGAGGAGTAAGGACTAATACTTGGCCTCACAATTTTGTTATCGATCAATTTTTGTACTTGCAAATTAATTTCTTCCTGGAGAACAGGGGGGTACCTAAACGGTTTCTGATAAATCGGTATGTCATCGGTTGTTCAAATCTTGTGCTTAACGTGATGAGTACAGGTCAAGTCTGTACCCTCGAAGTGAAATATTGTTTTATATTTTTGGCAAAGTTCGAGGATCTTTTGCTTTTCATCCGGTGAGAGATGATCGGTACGTATTAATTGAGTTATATTGAAATCATTTTCTTGGATATCAGGTTTTTTAATGTTGTATTCAAGCAAAGGATCTACATCCATGGGCTCTATGCAACATATCTCTTCCGGGGTAGAGTGTTCTACAGGAATAGGTATGGTGACGTGGAAATCGCGAGCCGTAGCTATGCAATCAGGAAATATGATTCCATTTATTTCAAATTCCGGAACAACGACGGGACCATTCTCAATTTTGACTGGTATATTAATATGACTGACATATTCAAGGCGAGTCAGTTTGATTGGTGTAGTCCTTTCGATAACCAATGGAATACGTCGATTTTTTAACTGAACAGTTTGATTGGTATAGTCAATTTTTGCACCTAATTTCTGAAGATCATCTGTCCCTAGCAACAGATCAAACTTGTCGTGCCAATCGACTACCTTGAAACTTAGGACTTTATTGATGCCAAATTCATTCAGGATTGGGTATTGAACATTTTTTGAACCATGAGAGATCTTATTTAGCGATTTTACTTCAAAATTTTGTTCAAATTGAAATTCAGAAAAATAGGTATCTGCAATATCGGAGTTCATAATGTTTGACGTAGCTCCCGTGTCTACCAATATTTTAAGGCCTAACTTCGGGAGAACTATATAGGGGAGCTTCGAAAGCTTGTAAATGTTATTTAAGACGACTGATTCGGTTCCGAGGCTGGTATTGGAAAATTTCCAACCTGGGCACTATCATTTTCAAAAGAAGCTACTTCACTTTCCATGTAATCAAAGTCTTGCTGATCAACGTACGGGGCTTCAGAAAAATAGTTATCGTATTGATCAGGAAATTCAGAGCCTTCGGTCTCCTGATTATGGAGCTCTTCCACAATCACATTTGGACGGCTTGCTTGTTGAAAAAAGTTGGGGCGATACGGCTGTCTTATAGAATTATTTGGGCGATAATTACTACCATCGACGGACATAGGTGTTGGCCTATTAGGTTGGGTATTCCTAGAAATTTGTTGATTTGAATTTGGAAAACGATTTGGCATTAACTGCGGCTGACTTAGTTGCGGCCGAGGAGTTAAATTATTTGGTCTGGGTGGACCAACTCTGGGTGGTGACAATTGGAATTGTGGCCTAAACTGATTTTGGAAGCTATTATTGAAATTATTTCCCCTCTGATTTGGTACTGGTTTGGGAAACTGACTATTTTTGCGTTGGGGTTCGTCTGTATCTCTCATGAAATTGGTCAAAGAACGCTCATACCAAAAGTTTTCCATTTCTTGAATTTTACGCAAAGCATCTGGCAAACTATTCACGTGTGAGTGCGCAAAAATATTACCATACTGATCCTTCAATCCAAAAATGAAGCGTTTTAAAGCCTGATCACAGTACATTTCTGATTTTATCTGAAATAGTTCAGGACGCGAATTTAATTTTACCTGTTGCAACATTTTTTGCAATTGTTCGTTTATTCGATCGTAATACTTCTTTGTTATTCTGATACATGCGAGAAAGTTCGTAAGCTAAACAAGATTCATTTCTTTTATCACCGAATCTATTAACAAGAATCTCTTTGACATCTTTCCAAGTAACCCAGGAACTGTTATTCAATAAATCTCTAGCATCGCCTTTGATTTTTGCTATAATATTATGAAAAAGCAATTTATTGAACACACAATTTGGATCCGGCTTTTTCAGCAATTCTATAAATTGGTCTGCCTTTGTGACAAAATCCAAAAGATCTTTCCTACCGCCAAAATAATCAGGAGCAATATCTTTCGCAAGAGACAACTCTAGACTTGTAATTTCTGAAGTCATGATTGTTAATTCACGTGAATGGTTTCGGTGCCTGTCAGAGTCAGAACAATCTGATTCACTATCGGAATCATAAAATGGCATAAAAATCTCAGGATGTACCAAAACCTCAATAACCAGTATCACAGAAATTCACAAGATCTAAGAAATCGAAAATATTTACAAATATTCATGAGACAAATATAATTATTCCAGAGATGTGCGATGAAATATCACCACTAGGAAATGTTTATGCAAAAAACAATGATTAACAGCAGAAATGTACAAAAACTTACAGTAACACGACCACACACCAAAGATTCATGGGAAACGTTGAAAAAACGATCGTCTTCTACCTTTTCTTCTTTCTTCGGCTTCACTAGTTTCTACGATAGACTGGTTGTGCCGCTGAAGATGCAGCACACCCTCCTAGCTGAACCGCTTCTATTGTCAAGGTTTTCGGGAGTTCTGGAACTTAGGGCCGACGCCCAATGCTGCTGGTCCTTAGTACCTTCACTCTGTTGTTGCTGACTGTGGATCCCTCTAAGAACTTGAAAGTTCACGTTGCTATGACTTGTGATTTCGGCTGGCCGATACTCTGCTCGATTGCCTCGAATTCGGACGCCGAAGGTGCATGTTTCACGTTTCGCGACACGCTGAGGGATCCCGGTTGAGCCCCCAGTTAAATTACTGCTACCGAAATACTTTATTTCGATTAACGGTACAAAAGGACTTTTGTGAAACCTTGTCACGACGATGCGTAAAACAGGACGGTTAGACAAGAAGTGACAAGATTTCCTCACACATGGATTTAGTACAATGAAGCAGAAATATAATATGCTGATACAGCGGATGTTAACATGTGACCTTCAAGGCGCGACATAAGATTCCATAGCGTAGCGACAATGCTAGCAAGAAAAACAAGTACCAGGGAATAATTATAGTATTATATAAAATACAGGGTGATGATGGATATAACTTACATACGACAGGAAACCACTAAAGTAAAATTTTTCGTTAAAAACAGATAGAGATTATGTTTTATCTGTGTGGGACTAGCGTTACATTTTGCTTGTGATAGCAAATTCTACCTGGCTGGAATAACTATGGAACTGTATGTATGGACATGACCGGTTAGGAAACCACAAATTTTCAGTAATAAAGGAAGTTAAATATTATTTTTATACCCGATAAACGTTACATTTTGCATAGGTGGCACTCGAACAGCAGGGCGCTCGTGATTGTGCTGTCATAAAGGCCATGTAGTTTGTTCCAACAGATGACGCATCACCACGATGATGATAGTATAATTTATGTTCGCGCGTTGTTCCATGGCTGACATTTCGACGGCAAGTCTTGTTAATGACGATAGATGAATAAATTCTGATCTATTCTAGCCACCTAAGATGAACCAGGTGAGGAAGCGGAAGCCATAATAGAAATTGTCGCACGCAGGGAGAAAGTATAACATTCTAGAGCGAGAGTGACCGTAAGCGTCTTCGAGTAACCGATTTGGCTCGCCAAAATAAAAATCCTTCATGCCCTACGTTTGCGAAATAATTGTAAAGTCTGGTTTTATCGCTGTAAGTTGTTCAAGGGGGTTTTCAAAACAAGGGCGCATAAAATGGGTACACCAATTTTTCTGTTTAAACTTTTTATTCGGCAACAAAGAATGAGAAAACGTGTTTTTTGGGATTCAATCGAAAGTGTTGGCAGGAACGAAAACACTTTTGATATAATATTTTTAGGTATTTATGAGACCTACAAAATGAGACTGCTCGTTAAAAAATTTCGACCAATATCAAAAAAGCTATGGCCTAAAACCGAGGCAAACTGCAGGTTTTGGCACATGATGGTAATGCGACGATGGTTTCTCGCAGATATTTGAAATTTTTGAAAGTCGTAGGATTCGAACTTCTAAATAACAACAACAAAATTGGCTTAGATTGGTCAAGTTTATTGTTCAAAGGGCATTTTGTAGCAACATACTCTACTTACATTGCCGATATGAATCGCAAACCATTCCGGAAGATAAATGTTATTTTTACGTAAAAAAGGATGGGTCTTTTCTTCTAAACAAATTCAAACATTCCGTATTTGTGAGTAATTCGCAACAAAAGATGTGTGTATGACGGCATAGTTCATCGAAAGTTAGAGACTAATTAAGTATAAAGAGTCCTCATCGTTTTAATCTTGTCGAAGTACCCAACTACAGGCGGGAGCTTTATTTTTCCACCTAACTGGTCTAGACGACAATGGTCACGTCGTCTCAAGTTATATATATATATATATAGAGAGAGAGAAAATGATCATGCAGAGAAGGGTATATAACAAAAAATGGGAAAGTAATGGGCAAATCCGCAAAAAGAAGGAAAGTGGATTCGAGCAGAAATTGGGATATGTATCCCGAGCGATACGTATTTCTGCTGGTTGGCTTCATCAGGCCCGAACTGAATGCACATATGCAACTACAAGGTAGATACACAAGCTCATACATCCGGATACGGGTGTAACCTGAGGAACCAAAAAATGGAGAGGGAAAAAAATCACACACGAATTTTCGAGGCGACATCTAACCACAACCACGCGGCCGGTTATAGCCACTTGTTGTGATACTTCAAGCCCAAAGGATCTACAAAGAGAAAATGATCATGCGGAGAAAGGTACATAACAAAAGATAAGAAAATAATGCGCAAAATCCGCAAAAAGAAGGAAACCAGCAAAAATACGTATCGCTCGGGTGACCTATCATATTTTCTGCTCGAATCCACTTTCCTTCTTTTTGCGGATTTTGCCCATTATTCTCCTATGTTTTTTATATATATATACACGTACGACCAGTCATTGCCATTGCCAACGACTAGTTGGGCAAGAAATACAATTAATTAATAATTGGGAAATTGGCAAAATTTAGGTTTAGTAAACTCTTTTAACGGTAATCTCGAGCTTTCGGCACGCTATGGTGCCATCATCAGGAGCTGAAACACAAATATGAAGCTAGCAACCAATACACAAAAGATTTAAATTTTCAGACAACTTACTCGTCGCTGAGGTTGCAGCCAAATGGTGTTTTAAAACTCGCAATTTAGGATGGATATATTTTTGTCATGCTTTGTGTTATGTCACTATTCTTGAAAATATTACTACAGTCATTCACTTCATTTTTTATTATTCAGCTTTGTGACACTTGTCTTTAGAGCAAGCCTGCTCAAAACAGTCGTACTGTTTTCTTCAATGTACGACCATACTTAGTGCACCTCATAATTTCTCCATTATAGTTTTAGATGTCCAACGACAACAGTCGTACTCATCTTATTTTTAAATTATCTAGAGAAGCAAATGAACGACAGGATTATTGATGGGAAGTTGGGGAGGAGGAAGTTGATGTTTTTGATATTCAAGATTCCGAATTGATTCAGAATCATAAGGAAGATGGTTTACAAAACTTTGTCGAATTCCGTAGGCATAGAGGCGCAGCCAGAAGTATGTCCATATAACATGACATTAGAGCCATCGGAAGGTAAAGTTACGATAGGTAATAATGTAGGTTTGCAATATTTAGAATATGTTTCATTTCAGTGATCCAGTTTCCAGTCGAAATAAATTTAACAAGCAACCAACGCAATCCCAGATTGACTGAAGATTGTACAGTTGTAGATGATCAGTCACTGTCAGATCCATTCAGTGCTGATGATAGCAATGCCGATCCAGATTATGATGTGAGTGAAGAGACATCCACCACTTCAAGTTTAGCGTCATCATTAATAAACGAGCCTGCAACGCTTCATGATGAAAGCAGTGGGGTTAAGAAAAGAAAGGTGCTAAACGCCTCCAAATCAAAAAAAAAGGCAAAAAGCGGACATCTTACAAGGAAAACTGTATAAGGAATACTGCAAAAAAGTTAAGGAATACTGGACAGGCTTATTTATCAAAAGGAAAAAAGATTATTCCAGCCAAAAGTTTATTGCCTCCATGTAATAATAAATGTACCCTAAGATGCTTCGAGAAATTTACAGAAGAGAATCGTAGGCAAATATTCAAGGACTATTGCGAGTTGGGTGATCTGGAAAAGCAACGGCTTTTTATTTCAGCCACCATGACTGTGGTCAACCCTTAATATAGATACAAGAGAGAAAATAGTCATAGGCGTCCAAATAATGCATTCCATTTCGAAATAAAGGATAAAAAGATTCGTGTATGCAAGACTTTTTTTAAATCCACGTTATGCATTACCGACAGACCTATAAGAACTGTAATTGCAAAAAGAAATCTTTTTAGTGGTCAGATGTTGTCTTCCGATTTACGGGGAACGCATGGACATCATGCTAAAGTAGACGAAGAGATAAAGAATGGTGTCTGAGCACACATTATGAAAATTCCACGAATTGAATGCCACTATTACCGTAAAAACACTAATAGAGAATATATTGAGGGTGGGAAAACTACAGCACAGCTCCACAGAGATTATAAAGAAGAGTGTTCAGAACAAGGTAAGCCTTCTGCCAATTACAACATGTATAGCAGAATATTCAATGAAGATTTCAATATTTCCTTCTTTGTTCCGAAGAAGGACCAGTGTGAAGTTTGTGTTGGTTACCTGAATGCCTCCGAAGACGAGAAGATCAAGTTGAAACAAGAATATGACACACATCGACTTGAAACAGAATTATCAAGAAAAGAAAATGAACATGACAAACATTCTGACAGTGATAAAGTTGCCGTCTATGATCTCCAGGCCGTCCTACCTTGTCCTTCAGGAGAACTAAATTCATTTTACTATGTTTCAAAGCTCAATGTCTTCAATCTGACCGTATGTGATATAAAAACTAAGGATATGCAGTGTTACGTGTGGCATGAAGGAGAAGCTCAAAGAGACGTGGATGAAATAGGGACTTGCATGTTAAGATATTTGGAGAGCATTCAAGAAAATGAAAGGAAAAGAAATATTATATTTCCGACAACTGTGTCGGTCAACAAAAAAATCGGTTCATCATAGCGGCGTACATGTATGCTGTTCAGCATTTTGAATGGTTGGAAAGCATAACTCACAAGTACCTCATTGCAGGCCATACTCAGAATGAGCGTCCATTCTCTGATTGAGCGTCAAGTAAAAAGGACCCAGCGATCTGGACCAATATATATTCCAGATCAGTATGTTACCCTGATAAGAAGTGCCAAAAAGTCAGGTCAACCTTATAAAGTCGATGAATTGCGCCATAAAGATATTTTAGATCTAAAGCAATTGGCATCTGATATTGAATTCAACTGCTATTCTAAGAAAAATGCCAATTGAGATACAATGAAAATATCCGAAATAAAAGTGCTTAAGATCACAAAAGATGCTCCAAGCAGAATATTGTATAAAACGAGCTATGAGCCAGAAGATTTCAAACAACAACTTTGAGCAGGAGAAAGAAAAATAGAGATGTAAAATTAAAATACGCACGTGCACCCCCAAAATAAATAATAATAAATATGTATAACATCCATTTAATAATTTCTCAAATAAAGTCTGAGCCTCCCTGATATTTAATCCTATAAAATCAAAGATCTAGTAGCTCTCCACTGGTGAGTTACCACTCTTCCCGCTGCGCTGCCTGATTCGGGCGATTCCGACTTGTGATTTGGTCTGGCCCGATCCGACTGCCGCCGACGGGTGACGGCGGATGACGACGAATAGTCGCATATGCGATCATGTACGCGGGATTAGTGTGTTTCTCACCAAGCTGTTCTGGTTGCGGGGTATAGCGGGGTTATGGCAATTTTAGTTGGAGAAGGCGCACACTTCTGGAGTGCGCCATTGTCCGTTGCGCGTGCATTTTATGCAGTAATCGGAGGTGTGTTCGAATTTTTATGTTCGTAGCAGTGTTTTACTAAAATATTGAGTTAAAATGAATGGTTTCACTGTGGAATATTTGAAACATAACTTCAGTTCATTGAGTTTGGAGCAAAAAATTGAAATAAAAAATGCGGGAAGACCTACACCAGAAATTAACTTAACTCAGACCACAAAGGGTAAATCTAGAGACTTTATTAGAAAGTTTAAAATGGAAATATATGAAAAGAATAACTGGATTTGTGGATGCAGCACAACAAACCGTTTGTTTTGTTTTTCCTGTTTGTTGTTTGGTCACGGGGTTGCAGAGCCTGCCTGGACAAAAAATGGAATAGCCGACTTAGGACATTTAGCACAAAAAATTAAGAAACATGAAAACACTCAAGTCCATATCAATGCGCAACTGGAAATGCAGCTTTTGGGAAAAGTAGATATACGGCAGCAGTTGGACAGTGCATATAGGCGCAGTATTCAACAGCAAAATGAACAAGTTAGAAAGAATAGGTATGTGCTTTCAAAAATTATTGATTGCATAAAATTTTGCGGAGCTTTTGAATTAGCCCTCCGCGGTCACGACGAAAAAGATGGTTCATCAAATCCTGGTATTTTTAGAGGTTTAATAAATTTCACTGCCGAATTAGATATAGCACTTAAAGATCATTTTGAAAAATCGACAGTATTCAAAGGGGTATCAAAAATCATTCAAAACGAATTGTTAGATTGCATGTTACAAGTGGCTCAGGAAAATATAAGGAAAGAAATTTTGGAAGCTGAATTTGTTGCTGTTATGGCTGACGAAACAACGGATGTAGCTAATTGTTATCAAATGACTACAGTATTTAGGTACATTCTACCAGATGGAAGGCCAGTTGAACGTTTTTGGAATTTTGTTACCCCCCCTGACCACGATGCAGTTAGTCTCTCAGAATGTGTAAGAACTAATTTAATACAAGTGCTAGATAAACCAGAGAAACTGATAGCTCAAAGTTATGACGGCGCTAGTGTAATGAGTGGACGTCGTGGAGGTGTTCAAGCTCTTATCCAACGCGATTATATTTATGCTTATTTCATTCATTGTTATGCCCACCAGCTAAATTTGATTTTATTGCAAGCTACAAGCCAAAATCAAGAAGTACGGGTATTTTTTTCAAATTTAAGCGATATTTCAACTTTTTTTTCTCATTCTCCACAACGAGTTGCAGTTTTGGATGACATTGTTGGTGCAAGAGTTCCTAGGTCTTCTGTTACAAGATGGAATTTTAAAAGCAGATCTATAAATACAGTATATGAATATCGCGAATTGTTAATAGAATGCATGGAAAAAATAGAAGCTACTTCAAAACAAACTGTTACCATCAATCAAGCCACTGGTATTGGCCGTATGCTACAAGATTCTAAGTTTGTGTTCTGGCTAACTGTATTTCATCGAATATTGCCACATGCTGATATTTTATATAATCAGTTACAAAAAACAGTGACTGACCCAGTGCAAATTCAGACTGCCATAAAGTGTTTTGAAAACTGCATCCAAAAAGAGAGAGACTGCTTGGAAACAATTGAAACTGAAATTTCTGAAGATACCACTACTACTCAAACTAAAAAGCGTCGTGCAAATGAAGACCAGCATATTTGCAGAGCTGTTGCAGCCAAGGAAGTTTGTGATACCATAATTACACATGTAACAGATAGATTTTCTTTTACAAAACATTTAAATGCAGCTATTCTTCTTTCTTCTGACAAATTTCCACAATTTGAAAAGCATTTTCCATTGCAATATTTGGAAACTGTAGTAGAAGCATATTCGTTTTTAGATAAAGTTCGTCTCCAGACTGAATTGGAATTAATTTACCGGCGACCTGACTTCAGGAATATGACTGGTGCCATTAGTTTGTTACAGTTTTTTATAGAAAATAATCTTCAGAGCATATTTTCTGCCACCTTTACACTTTTACAAATAATTGTTACCATACCAATGACTACGGCCGAAAGTGAAAGATGCTTTTCGACATTGAAGAGAATAAAAACATTTTTGCGAAGTTCTATGAATGAAGAAAGACTGTCAGCGCTAGCAATGCTATCTATCGAGAAAAAATGTATAGCGGGTATTCCAAACTTTAACGAGTTAATTATTGATAAATTTTCTGCAAATAAAATCAGGAGAATGGACTTTACGTTTAAACACTGTACTCATTAAAAAAATTGTATTTTTTATAAATGTATTTTCTTGTGTATAATAAAAAAAATAACAAAAAATGTGTCCTTGATGATTGTTTTAGTACTCTTATTGCCTTCTACGTCACGCATTACATAAAAATTTTGGTGGTGGTAAAAAAAATTATTTTATACCACTTGTGAACCCCCTGTATCATAGACCACGAGCCGCCGCTGAATGTGATGATATAAATTTTCAATCGCATTTTCCCAACATTGTAGTTTTTTGACATATGACACTATTCTTCCGGATGAGCGATATGAAAACACACGAACGAAATTAAAAATCATTGAACATTTTCAAACTATTAAAAAGTAGTACTGCATTTAGGGGAAAGACAGCTGAGTTCCTTCTAACCTCCTACGTCTGTTTCACGTGAAGACAATGAGCGAAACGAAAGAGTGATGTATCGACAGATGACAGATGACAGTCGCGAAGGGATGTGGAAATGTAAATGTCATTGCCAAATTTCAGATATAGTGTATATGATGGACGCTCGGAAAAAATTTTCATATTTCCCAAATTGCTGGATTAGTTTTGTTTTGGAAAAGTGTAATTCATATGAGAGTACGATGGTAATACACCCTTGAAAAAATGCACTACTTTTTAATAATTTGTAAATGTTCAACAATTTTTAATTTTGTTCGGGTGTATTGATATACAGGGTGTTCCATAATTATTGCGACAAAATGATAGGGGTTGTAGAGGGCATCAAAATGAACAATTTTGCCTTATAAACCCCTGTTCGAAAATATGCCGTTTGGGCTGCAGCAAAAAAAAGATCAGTTTCTTGAAACAGCTTACCTACAGCAATTGCTCAAAGTGTCCTCCACCTTGCTCAATACACAGCTGTGCACGATTGTTTAATGATCGGCGAACTCTGTGGCATACCCCCGGTATGTCCTGAACATGTGCGGACGCGGCCATCACTCTTCCCAGTAGCTCTTGTTGGTTGGGAACAGGAGTTTCGTACACTAAAGCTTTCAGATGGCCCCAGAGAAAATAATTCAGTGGGGTCAGGTCGGGTGACCGCGCAGGCCAAGGCACAGGGCCACCTCGGTCTATCCACCTATTTGGAAATTTGTCGTTCAAATACTGCCGCACTTGTAAAGAAAAGTGGGCTGCAGCGACATCGTGTTGAAACCACATGTTGGCTCTTATGTTCAGTGGCACATTTTCTATTTTACGGTAGCCCATGCTGTAAGAATCGACCATAAGCATGCCTATCCAAACGTGGTAGAAGCAAATATGGCCCGATGATATGCTCGTCCACAATGCCGCACCAGATGTTAATTGAAAACTGATGATGGTCTCTATGGATGGCTATGGCATGAGGGTTTTCTTCATCCCAAATGTGATTGTTACGGCTATTAAAATAACCGTCCTTTGTAAAACAGGACTCGTCAGTGAACAAAACGTAGCGACCGAAGTTTGGTTGCCTCAACTCCTGCTGCAGCCACCAACGACAAAAACGTCGACGCGGCAGATAGTCATCTGGACCCATGGCTTGGACTTTTAAAAGGTGGTATGGGTGTAGTTGCTGGTCATGGAGAACCCGCCAAGCAGTAGTTTGAGACGCTCTCATATCATGTGCAATAGCATGCACGCTTGTACGCGGATTGGCCTCTACATGATGCAGAATCGCTTCCTCAAATTCTACTGTGCGCCTCGTGAAGGGCCGCCCTGCTCCCGCGAGGTGTCTGATGCTGCCACTGACACGAAGACGTCCATGAATCCTTGCAGAAATGGCGTGATGCGGATGAGGCCGTTCTGGAAACCGTTGGGCGTAGATTCGCGAGGCTCGTCTCCCGTTACCACCAGCTTCTCCGTAAATTAAATTATTTACTATCTAGTTTGACGCACCACTCAGATAAATTAAATGAATCGGTGTGGAGAATTTACGATAACAAAAATGTAAACACAGCAGGCTTTTTTTACAAACCGGCGAGACCATGAAATGTGCTAAACGAACATTTTGCAGCTGGTGAATTTTTTGTTTCTCCTATGAGCTCTTAAGGTAAAATTAGCGGTAGTGCTCAAACGGCATATTTACGAACAGGGGTTTATAAGGCAAAATTGCATATTTTTATGCCCTCTACAACCCCTATCATTTTGTCGCAATAATTATGGAACACCCTGTATAGTGGTAACACCTAACTATGACTTTCGCTCGTTACCAACAAACCGAATGTGTCCGTCCCTTTGGTTTTACATTAGCAACATGTGCTCTCATCGACGCTTTCGTTTTAAAACACCATTTGGCTGCAACCTCAGCGACGAGTAAGTTGTCTGAAAATTTAAATCTTTTGTGTATTGGTTGCTAGCTTCATATTTGTGTTTCAGCTCCTGATGATGGCACCATAGCGTGCCGACAGCTCGAGATTACCGGTAAAAGAGTTTATCAAACCTAAATTGGCAAAAGTGTCAAAAAATACAATGTTGGGAAAATGCGATTGAAAATTTATATGCATTTATTTATATATATTTATTGCATTATAATAAAATATGATTTGGAGTTCATCTTTTTCCATATTTTATATCTCACCAAAAACTATAAACATTTCGGAAGAATAATGTCATATTTGCGAATTACGAGGCGTGTTTTTAAAGTAAGTACCGTTTTGACCTAAAAAAACAACAAGTAAATTTTGTCCAAAAATGAATTATTCACTTGAAAGGCCATACTTTACTCTACTTTTCTACGTAATTCCCATTACGATTGAGGCATTTATCGTATCTTGGGACCAGCTTTTGTAAGCCATCGTCAAAGAAGCTTGCCGCCTGAGTAAACAACCACTGCTTCACATTTTTGGCACTCAGCGTGAACACAATTTCCGATAATTTAAACGTTCGGACACAATTCGTAAAGAACACTTCTTGAGACAGCAGGAAACTGTTCAGCTAAGGACGAAAACGTGAATCGCTGTTCTCTTTCACTTTACAGTCCACTTTTTGAATCAGGTCATCGGTAATGACTGAAGGTCTTCCTCATCTTTAAAGGCCCTAACCCATTTCCGCACCATTCCATCACTCATAATGTTTTCACCATACACTTCACTGACTTGGTGATGAATTTCAACTGATTTGAAGCCTTGTGCACAGAGACACCATATTACAGCACGCACTTCGCAGTCGGCGGGATTCACAATCGGTGGAGGCATTTTAAAATCACGCAAACAGATGTAGACTCGATCGGATGGTTCCGTAACGGCGTCTGTGGCTACCCTACAGATGTAGCTACACGGCGTGCGTGCGCTAAACGGCTACCGCAGCGCTGCGGCGGCGTAATTTAAACACGGTACTTACTTTAAAAACACGCCTCGTATTTTAAATTTATAGTTTTGGGAAGGATTCTATCTTTTATCGGTAGGTGTTCTTAGGGACAATTGAAAGAGTTCTAGATCCCTAATTGTATGCCTGTAACATTTACCGCTGGGGAGCCTCAGCAACAATGTGATGATATAAATTTTCAATCGCATTTTCCCAAGATTGTAGTTTTTTTACTTATGACACTTTTGCCAATTTAGGTTTAGTAAACTCTTTTAACGGTAATCTCGAGCTTTCGGCACGCTATGGTGCCATCATCAGGAGCTGAAACACAAATATGAAGCTAGCAACCAATACACAAAAGATTTAAATTTTCAGACAACTTACTCGTCGCTGAGGTTGCAGCCAAATGGTGTTTTAAAACGAAAGCGTGGATGAGAGCACGTGTTGCTAATGTAAAATCAAAAGGACGGACACATTCGGTTTGTTGGTAACGAGCGGAAGTTATAGTAATTGTTGAACATTTTCAAATTATTAAAAAGTAGTGCATTTTTTCAAGGGTGTATTACCATCGTACTCTCATATTAATTTCACTTTTCCAAAACAAAACTAATCCAGCAATTTGGGAAATATGAAAAGTTTTTTTCCGAGCGTCCCTCATATACACTATATCTGAAATTTGGTAATGACATTTACCTTTCCACATCCCTTCACGACTGTCATCTGTCATCTGTCGATACATCACTCTTTCGTTTCGCTCATTGTCTTCACGTGAAACAGACGTAGGAGGTTAGAAGGAACTCAGCTGTCTTTCCCCTAAATGCAGTACTACTTTTTAATAGTTTGAAAATGTTCAATGATTTTTAATTTCGTTCGTGTGTTTTCATATCGCTCATCCGGAAGAATAGTGTCATATGTCAAAAAACTACAATGTTGGGAAAATGCGATTGAAAATTTATTTCATCACATTATTGCTGAGGCTCCCCAGCGGTAAATGTTACAGGCATACAATTAGGGATCTATAATGTTATACTCAAACTCTTTCAATTGTCCCTAAGAACACCTACCAATAAAAGATAGAATCCTTCCCAAAACTAAAAATTTAAACTAATTCGCAAATATGACATTATTCTTCCGAAATGTTTATAGTTTTTGGTGAGATATGAAATATGGAAAAAGATAAACTCCAAATCATATTTTATTATAATGCAACATATAAAACAGAAATGATCAATAAACGTTATTATACTGCTTCAAAAAACGGCAAGTAATTTTTTGGTATCGGCTTGTTCCTTCTTTTAAATAGTGCCAGTAGCCCAGTCTTCTTTTTATTTGTGAATCCGACCTTCTGGCTGTAAGCGTATATTAATTTTACATCTCTATTTTTCTTTATCCTGTTCAAAGTTGTTGTTTGAAATTCTTCTTGCTCATAGCTCGTTTCATACAATATTGTGCTTGGAGCATCTTTTGTGATCTTAAGCACTTTTATTTCGGATATTTTCATTGTATCTCAATTGGCATTTTTCTTAGAATAGCAGTTGAATTCAATATCAGATGCCAATTGCTTTAGATCTAAAATATCTTTATGGCGCAATTCATCGACTTTATAAGGTTGACCTGACTTTTTGGCACTTCTTATCAGGGTAACATACTGATCTGGAATATATATTGGTCCAGATCGCTTGGTCCTTTTTACTTGACGCTCAATCAGAGAATGGACGCTCATTCTGAGTATGGCCTACAATGAGATACTTGTGAGTTGTGCTTTCCAACCATTCAAAATGCTGAACAGCATACATGTACGCCGCTATCATGAACCGATTTTTTTGTTGACCGCCACAGTTGTCGGAAATATAATATTTCTTTTCCTTTCATTTTCTTGAATGCTCTCCAAATATCTTAAAATGCAAGTCCCTATTTCATTCACGCCTCTTTGAGCTTCTCCTTCATGCCACACGTAACACTGCACATCCTTAGTTTTTGTATCACATACGGTCAGATTGAATACATTGAGCTTTGAAACATAGTAAAATGAATTTACTTCTCCTGAAGGACAAGGTAGGACGGCCTGGAGATCATAGACGGCAACTTTATCACTGTCAGAATGTTTGTCATGTTCCTTTTCTTTTCTTGATAATTCTGTTTCAAGTCGATGTGTGTCATATTCTTGTTTCAACTTGATCTTCTCGTCTTCAAAGGCATTCAGGTAACCAACACAAACTTCACACTGGTCCTTCTTCGGAACAAAGAAGGAAATATTGAAATCTTCGTTAAATATTCTGCTATACATGTTGTAATTGGCAGAAGGCTTACCTTGTTCTGAACACTCTTCTTTATAATTTCTGTGGAGCTGTGCTGTAGTTTTCCCACCCTCAATATATTCTCTATTAGTGTTTTTACGGTAGTGTGGCATTCAGTTCGTGGAATCTTCATAATGTGTGCTCGGACACCATTCTTTATCTCTTCGTCTATTTTAGCCTGATGTCCATGCGTTCCCCGTAAATCGGAAGACAACATCTGACCACTAAAAAGATTTCTTTTTGCAATTACAGTTCTGATAGGTCTGTCGGTAATGCATAACGTGGATTTAAAAAAGTCTTGCATACAACTAATATTTCGGGATAACGTAAGTGCCTTTTTAAAAATATTTATTTCCGAAAATACAGTAGTGGATGGTACGAAAGTTAGATTAAGACTAAATTTTAATTATACAGGTACAATGTTCGTTAGCATGAGTAAAACAGGAAACATATCATGTTGCATTTCAACGGTTGCTAGGCGCTGCGATGATGTGCTGACTTGCATTTTCTATTTTCTAGCTTCTACAGGGTAGCCCTATAACTCCTCTACCCCTAGAATGAAGCTTCTCCTGGAAGATTCAGTTTCCTGGAAGGTAGCTCGATTTCTTCTGGATCATTTGTATGTGACTTCCTTGGAATTGGAGCAGGATGTGTATGTGCATACTTATTCTTCTGGAACTTTTGATAAATAAGTAGAATGCTCAGAGACGTGAATAAAATGTACAAGATAATAGTCCAAGCACTGGGTGTGATATAATCGATTTCTTCAGATTCAATTGGGTTGAATGACTGTACTGGAATATCTTTCATTTTTAAAGTTCTTAGTTCGATTTCAAACTTCGCCTTTTGATTTTCCGAAATTAAAGTGAAATTTGGCGTTTTCATGACTAACGGCTGGCCAAAACTCTTGTCCAAAAATGTAATCGCTTCGTTTCTAAACAAGATTGTGCAGTTATCTTGTGATATCAAGTATATGCCTGATAAGAACTTTAATTCTATTTGATTTTGACAATGGAATTCTAGCTTTCCTTGTATTGGAAAAACGGCTAAGTACTGGTTGATCTCTGGTACAAGTTCAATGTGATTTTCGATAATCTTGACTTTGGTAAAATGACAACTGTTGGCGTTCTCATTTTTCAAAATGTTGGCTTCACAGGATATATTTGTACTAACTTCTTGACGAGGACAGTGATATATATTTCTTTTGGTACAAATGCCACTTAGAGGTTTGATTGATTGTTTATCAATCGATGCCAAAAAGTATTCGAAATTTGGAAAAATCGACAGGAATTCTGACCCATATTTTGTAGGTATTGGGTGCATGTAATACAATTCAAATGTATCGTTGAAGTCAATTGGAATAGATAAGAAGTAAATAATTTGATTGAAATCATTCTTACAGTGTACCTTTATAAGTGATTCAAAATCTAACAAATTTTCGAATTTGACATCATAAGGAAGCATGTTTTCATAATAGGAAGGTAATTTCAAAAGTTCCTTATGTAATTCGCTTGGTCTGAAGATACTCGGGTGCATAACTCCTAACTTGCAGAATGTAACAGAATTTTCAATATCTTGCAATGTACTGAGAATACAATTGTAAAGCATTAAAAGTGAGTAATAAATGTCCTTTGCAAAAAGAATATTTTCATTCATAGTGCTTGCATACGCAATTTCGTTCAGTTGCAGTATTTTTGACTTTAATAGATTTTCATTGTGATGAATATTTTGATGAGTCAAGTTAAAATTTTCGATCAGCTCGTGATTCACAGAATATTGTAATTTTAGTTGATTTTCAATGCTTTTCTCATTGTTCTGCATGTGATTAATAATTTTGTAAATTTTTTCTCCGTCATGTGAATCTAAATTACCTGTTATGAATCTATGTACAATATTTGGAAATGCCTTGTGCCTGTTGTAGTTACGTTATAAAGCAATTTAAGAGGATGTCTGTCATATTTTGTAACGCATTGATTAATAAAATCTCTAACAGTATTGAATAATTTTGGAATATAATAATGTGCCTTAATTCGCTTTTCAGTTTCTTCGATACCTCTGTGATTAGTTTTTCCTTCATGGTGATTTCTAATAATTGATTCTACTTCAGTGTCGTCTGTGATATCAATTAATTTCTTCGTGCACTATGTCATATTGATTTCAGAATTTTTGAAATACTTCTGTAATACAGAACAGAATTGTTCGTAAATGGGATCTTCAAAGTAAAGATGATATTTAATTTTGGGTGCAACATATTCCTTAATAAAATTTACCATTTCTTGTTCATAATTGTCTTTAGAAAACTGAATAAGTGTTCTCTGCTTATCCTTGAATAATTTTATGATTTCAGCAGGTGAAAAATTTACTTGTGAAATAATGATCTGATTTTTACCATAGTTGACTGGAGTATCAGTTATAGGTATTCCTATAATTGGATCTTCGGGGCTAGAATGAATTGTTTGATCGGTTGATTCTTCAATATCTATATCGATTTGGCTATCATTGGCTTCTACTATCATTGATTGACTATCATTCTGATCTAAATTTTGATTACGTGTTTGTACACCGGAAGTGGATGCTAATTGACTATTGAATTGGTCAATAAAATCAAAAATTGGAGGGTCGTCGTGTACGTTCTTGGTTTCATTAGCATTGAGCTCAATTCTAGACAATGCGTCTGCGTTTTTATTTAATTTTCCTTTTTTATAGACAATTTTGTACTCATATTGCTCAAGAGATAATCTCCATCTGATTAGTCTTGAATTTGGTGATCTATGATTCATTAAATATTGTAATGGTGCATGATCTGTAACGATCGTGAAGGTTTTACCGAAAAGGTATGGTCTGAAATATTTAACACCGTATATTATAGCAAGAAGTTCTTTTTCTGTGGTACTATAATTAATTTCGGATGAGATTAATGTTCGACTCGCGTATGCTATAGGTAAATCCGATCTTATTTTTCCTTGGCTAAGAATTGCAGAAATTGCATAATTACTAGCGTCTGTTGTCAAAATAAATGGTTCTTCAAAATTTGGATATTGTAAAATTGGCTCATTCATTAATAAATTTCTACACGTGTCAAAACACTTAATATATTCTGGATCCTTGTAATCGATAGTAGCATCTTTTTTCAAGCATTTTGTCAAAGGCTTTGTTAATCGCGCAAAGTCCTTAATAAATTTTCTATAATATCCCAATAATCCTGAAAATCCTTTAATTTGTTTTGCAGTTTTCGGTAATGGGTATTTTTGAATAGCTAAAATTTTGTCTGGGTTCGGTTTTACTCCGTCTTTGGTTACTACATGTCCTAAATAAGCAACTTCTTTTCTCAAGAATTCTGATTTATCCAGCTGAATTTTGAGATTTGCCTGTCTTAAACGTTCGAAAACTTCTTTTAGCCTTTCAATATGTTCTTGTAAACTTGTGCTAAAAATAATAATGTCATCTAAGTAAACCAAACATTTTTCGTTTTAAATTCCACGCAAAATATTATCCATAACTCTTTGGAAAGTGGCTGGTGCATTCTTTAATCCAAATGGCATTCGCAAAATTCGTAATGACCATTTTCCGATGTCTTCTTCAGATATTTCAATCTGGTGAAACCCGGAAGCTAAATCGAGTGTCGTAAAGTATTGGCACTTGCCTAATTTATCTAACAAATCATTAATATTTGTCTCCAATAGTTTTTTCATTGAGCTTTCTGTAATCGATAACTACGCGCCATTTTCTTTTACCGCTAGCATCGAACTTCTTCTCTACTATCCATAATGGAGCACAATATGCTGATGTTGAATGTCTAATAATAGTTTGGTTAAGCATTTTCTGAATTTGATTTTGGATTTCTTTACTGTGTATCTCTGGATATCGATATGACTTGGTATATATTGTTATCTCGTCTGTAGTTCGAATTTTATGTTTAATTTTGCTAGTAAATGTTAATTTGTCTCCTTCAAAATAAAAAAATGTAGGAATAATCTTTAATTAACTTCATAATCGCATTTTTCTCTTCGAAATTTATATGTTCCGTTCTAAATTTAGAAAAATCGATCTTAACTTGATCTGTACAATAATTATGTAAATTAGTTTCACTGATTGTAGTAGCCAACTCGTAATCCGCGAACTGATCTACTCTCAATGGATCTAAATTACTTATTTTTATTGAGAAATCGTTCGGATTCAAAAAAGTGCAAATGGCTTTTCCATTTTTCACTGTAGCAATACACTGCGGTATTTCTAAATTACTTATCCTTGTATAAGGAATAAGTACATCACCATTTGTGATATTTGAGACTTGGATCTCGATTATTTTCTCAGTACGAGGTTCTACTATAATACAATTTGTACTAGATAATGTTTTATGAAAATATATCTTCGTACTGGTATTTGGAAGTACCAATGTTTCATTATCTAGGACAATAAATGCTTTCATTAGTTTCAAGTTATCGACTCCTAATAAACAATCAAAATATTTGTGAAAATTGAAAAGATAAAACTTTAACTTATTGTTCACTTTTGTGTTGAACATATCAATAGAAGGTATTGTAGTACTGAAATTTTCAGTTGAACTTCCATGAACCGTGCAAATTTGAAATGGATCCTTTTTAATCGAATCTTTAAAATATTTATCCGCAATTTCTGGACGAATGAAACTTTTCGTACTACCTGTCTCTATCAATATTTTCAAATGTAACTTAGGAAAAATAATGTAAGGTAGTTCACTATCGCTATTTGTATTCATTAGCTCATAATGAGGCATTACTGATCCGAGGCTGTTTGCCGAAAAAATTGATCTCCATCGTTATCTTGATTCGAATCATCATTTTCGTTTGGGTAGTCAACCTGTGGCTCCTGGTCTATATTAAATAATTCCTCAACCACGTAATTGGGTCTCGAATTGTTGTGATTTACAAAATAATTGTTATTTGGATTTCTTTGGTACTATTGATTTTGCTGAGGTCTGAATGTATTTCTAGTTGATGTGTAGGTGTAGGTTTAGGAAATGATTGATTTTGATTCGGCCTAAACACATTAGGTTGCTGTGTTTGTCTAGCATTGCTCTGGCTACGATGATTTTGGTTATAAGGATAATTAGTAATAGGTAAGGGTGGTCTAAACTGTGAGTTTTCGAAATTTTGAGGATTTCGCTTAAATTGATTTGCCTTCGGATGATGTTTTTGACCAAACTTCTGTTTAAATTGATTTTATTGTACTGCCTCTAAATGAAAATCATTCGTAAGCATGTGCAAAGCTTGATTGAGATCTTCTGGGTTTTTTGTACGCATTAAAGATCCAATAGGTTCCTTCAAACCTTTTAATAAAATTCTTAAAGCTAGATTTCTACAATAGTTATTAACTATTATAGCTTCATTTTCTGGTAAGTGTGATACAGAGTATGAAATTTGTAAATTTAACAGATGTTGAATCATATTATAAAATTCAAAAGGGTTTTCAATTTGATTTTGCCTTAATTCTACCATCTCTATATTCAACGTGAAAAGATCGCGGTTATCTGCATAAGCATTGAGAAGAGCATTTTTTAAATCTTGCCAGTTTTTTATGTGAGACGAAGAAATATTAAGTGCTGCGTCGCCTTTTATTTTCGCAAGCACACTTGACATCAAATATTCGTTTTGAAAGTCCTGTGGATTTGTTGCATTATAAAATTTCGTGACTAATTTCTCTGAAATTTCAAGAAATCTGGGTAATAATTCTGGTTCACCATGAAAATCAGGAATCATGTGCAAGTATTCCGGTTTTAGGAAAGGTACATTGTTTGAACTAGTAGTCATTGTGACGTTACTTAATTGATTTTCACTGATAATAGGTAAATTCAGAATTGGTGATCTAAAAATTGGTCTTGAGAATTGAATATTCGAATTAGCTATTGGTGAGTCAGAATCCGATTCCGCGCTATCACTGCTATCAGAATTAATATTTTCGAGTCCTCTAAAAGACATTAGGTACTTACAGCCATACCACTAGAAGTTCCATGCCCTGTATGCTGCAGAGTAGAGATTCCGCCGTGGTCCAATATTCCTTTGGTCCTCTGGTCCAATATTCCGTTGGCCCCTTGGTTGACGTCTTCTCACTTGGCTACTCGATCCACCAAGTTGGAATTCCTCTAGATGGTTGAGTCCACGCGACCGACCGATATTACCGATTCGCGAGACTTTTTTTTTCGTTTCGTATTTGGTTAATCGTTCGACGAAGGGTGGTTTATAAGCCGTAAACAACCCCCAAATATCCTACTGGCTGCGCCACTAATATTTCGGGATAACGTAAGTGCCTTTTTAAAAATATTTATTTCCGAAAATACAGTAGTGGATGGTACGAAAGTTAGATTAAGACTAAATTTTAATTATACAGGTACAATGTTCGTTAGCATGAGTAAAACAGGAAACATATCATGTTGCATTTCAACGGTTGCTAGGCGCTGCGATGATGTGCTGACTTGCATTTTCTATTTTCTAGCTTCTACAGGGTAGCCCTATAACTTACATGAATCTTTTATCCTTTATTTCGAAATGGAATGCATTATTTGGACGCCTATGACTATTTTCTCTTATGTATCTAGATTTAGGGTTGACCACAGTCATGCTGGCTGAAATAAAAAGCCGTTGCTTTTCCAGCTCACCCAACTCCCAATAGTCCTTGAATATTTGCCTACGATTCTCTTCTGTAAATTTCTCGAAGCATCTTAGGGTACAATTATTATTACATGGAGGCAATGAACTTTTGGCTGGAATAATCTTTTTTACTTTTGATAAATAAGCCTGTCCAGTATTCCTTAACTTTTTTGCAGTATTCCTTATCCAGTTTTCCTTGTTAGATGTCCGCTTTTTGCCTTTTTTTTCTGTTTTGGAGGCGTTTAGCACCTTCCTTTTCTTAACCCCACTGCTTTCATCATGAAGCGTTGCAGGCTCGTTTATTAATGATGACGCTAAACTTGAAGTGGTGGATGTCTCTACACTCGCATCATAATCAGGATCGGCATTGCTATCGTTAGTACTGAATGGATCTGACAGTGACTGATCATCTATAACTGTACAATCTTCAGTCAATCTGGGATTACGTTGGTTGCTTGTTAAATTTATTTCGACTGGAAACTGGATCACTGAAATGAAACATATTCCAAATATTGCAAGACTACATTATTACCTATCGTAACTTTACCTTCCGATGGCTCTAATGTAATGTTATATGGACATACTTCTGGCTGCGCCTCCTTATGATTCTGAATCAATTCTGAATCTTGAATATCAAAAACATCGACTTCCCCAACTTCCCATCCATAATCCTGTCGTTCAGTTGCTTCTCTAGATAATTTAAGAATAAGATGAGTACGGCTGTTGTCGTTGGACATCTAAAAATATAATGAAGAAATTGTGAGGTGCACTAAGTATTGTCGTACATTGAAGAAAACAGTCCGGCTGTTTTGAGCAGGCTTGCTCTAAAGACAAGTGTCACAAAGCTGAATAATAAAAAAATGAAGTGAATGACTGTAGTAATATTTTCAAGAATAGTGACATAACACAAAGCATGACATAAAATATATCCATCCTAAATTGCGAGTCCAAGAATAAAAAAAAGCAAATAATATGCTGGAATAATAATACAGAAAGTAACTTACCTTTCCCATGAATAAAGACCCAAACCTGAATGTAACGCTGCAACGTGGGCACAGGTAGCATACAAAGTGACACTTTTTGTGATGTGACGATTTACCGCACGCGCGTCGACGTATTCGCTTTCACAGTAAAGGCAGAACTGAAGATGAGCCGTTATTCCTGTCGCAGATAGGCAAATTTAAATCTAACGAACTAGTGACACTAGCGCCATCTCTCGGATCCTATACAAGATAACTTTATGACATTTTTTCCGATAAAAATGGACTATATTTGATATCGGTTCTACGACTTAACTAAAAAATTGTAATTTTCGAGTTGGTTTTACATTTGCAAAAAGTGCTTTCATCTACGCTTTCGTTTTAAAACACCATTTGGCTGCAACCTCAGCGACGAATAAATAATATATATATATATATACAATTAATTGTTAATTGGGAAATTGGCAAATTTTTAGGCTTAAGTTGACTCTTTTGACGATAAAATCAAGCTTTCGGCATTCTCTATGGAGCCTTCATCAGGATTCTGAAGACACACATCACAATTATTGTATGTTGGTAAATTATACAGGCTTTTTGATCATAGTACACTTTCCTGAATTTTACTTTTTCTATTAACTAAGACAAGTCCAAAACTGGATTAGGCGGAATAGGGGAGGTGGCAGTTTGGAAACCGACAGGACAAATGTCCACATACAGTCAAATGAAGACGTGAGCAGGCTGATTGCGTTCAACAACGAAAATAGGTTATGTAGTGAGCTCGCAATTCGAGATAGACTGGGGCTACAGTGTCATAGAACAACAAAGGGCAGATATCTGTATAAGGAAGGTATCCACAGAAGGATACCGCCAGTGAAGCCATTGCTCACTGAGGATCATAGAAGGAGAAGATTACAGTTCTGCCAAGAGAACCTGAATAGGGACTGGAGCACCGTAGTCTTCTCCGATGAAAAAATGTTTGTACTAATACGGATTACCGACCGCCGCTATGGCGTCGGAACAACACCAGATTCGATCCAGCAAACATAACCCCAACAGAACGGACGACAACGGGATACTGGGGGTGGATGACGGCTAATGGACCAGGGGATTTAGTTAGTATAACTGGTAAGAGATAATTAAGTTACAACTATACTTTTCTAAAGTTAGCAAGATCTGCTAGTGGAACCACTTGATCGACTTCGTCGTAGCGCTGCGTGCTCATTATTTTACGAGTATCTATTTTACTCACATTGCACCACCCATAAGGGTTATATTAAAATACAAAACCATTTGGAATTACCGAATGCGCTGCATCAAAATACAAAATAGCAGCTCTTGCTTTTGAGTATGTTTTTACGACAAAGTTATGCCACTGCAGTAGGCTTTTAAGTAACAGTATAAAATTGCTAACATCTAAATAATGATCACAATAGATGGTTTTGTTGATATCGGATAATTTCTTGGAAAAGCTAATTTTTTATAAAAGATTACTGGTATTATACCATATCCCTTCTAGGACTCGATAGGGGACAGGAAATGCAATAAGATTCCATGATTACCTGACCAGTCGTAACCACATATATTATGTTTTAAATTACTTGTTCTAATCTATTTTACGAAATATCCAAAAAACCAACGTATTGTCCGAAACATCAGTGAAAAAGTAGTTCAAACATATGTGGTTTCGTTTGCCCAGACCCAAACAACAAAATGAGTTTTAGGTATTACAGTAAAATACAATAAATAGACTCTATATAACATATGCATTGCACGAAAATCCCCAGTTTTGGAGATCTTCTTTTGTGGTTTCTTTAGCATCACCCGAAACTGTAAAAACATATATGAAAAAGCCTTGAGGTTTCGTTCTCAGTTTCCCTCATAGTAAAATTGTTCATTTCATGTTCACACACATACACACACCTACACACACAGACACACACGCACTTGGTGTTCGAAATATATTGCATTTTAGCTCCCTTTTCTTGTCCTGGAAGAAATACGTCGTGACCCTGTGCATACCTCGGTCCCTCATAAGATGATCTTGTTATTTACAGACAGAATGAACTCGAAACAATATCTAGACATTTTGACTAATAGTTTTATCTCATCATACCGGATTCACTATCCACAAAGTAGAATCACTTTTGTACAAGATAATTCCGCCGTTCATACGTCACACATGGTGCGAAATTATCTTGCACAAGAGGATTACAATGTCATTGCCTGGCCAGCAAAATCTCCAGACCTCAACCCAATAGAAAACATGTGGGGTATAATGGTCCAAAAGTGGAGCACTGGCGGACCGCTCCCCAACAGGCGGGATAATCTAGACACCCATTGTAGGCGGATATGGGAATCCTTCCGGGGAACGGATGTCTGCAAAAACTTGGTGGACAGCATGCGCACTAGGATGCAATCCTGTATAGACGCAGAAGGTCATCGTATCGCATATTGGTAAGATACATGTATTTTATATAGCGTATTGTATTTATTATTATTGCATTAAAATTGACTCCGTACAATGATTGCTCGAACCGCTGGTATCGCATAAACATGGTGGAGAATACAAAAAATGATTTTGTCAATCATCTGATACCCCTTCTCTCTTCTACTACCCCTAAAACACATTGACGCATTTAGAAGGCTGGCTATTATTACCTCTAATCGTATACTAAGAAAAAAATTCGGCCTGATTTTTTGTTAATTTTCGTGTTGCCATTTTTGTCACTGGAAGCAAACTGTTTTCACAAAGCTTCTTTGAAAACTTACTTAGACAAGCTTCGCCTTGAAATGATATTCCCAATTTGGGGGATGGAACGGAGATTTTTTTCAGTGTATACAGGGTGTCCGCAAAGTTGGGATTTTCCTTTACACGACGTGTAGATCTTGAAAACATAAGCAATTTTTCTTAGCACCATATACACCAATGTCTTAAGGGAACCGAGATAAAGGGCTCTGCAACATCAAAAATATCTGAATACCGTCCTGTAGCCGCGACTCGCGACATCCCCAGCTGGTACTAGGACACTAGCTCAACCCGACGACAGAACTTGGTCTGGGGTCGGGGTCAGTGTGTCAGGTCAGTATGCAACCTTCAACCGACGGGTACGGTCACGAGTGTAGAGGTAAACGAACCCGTATAATCGATTGCGTTTCAAAAAACAACAAGCACTAGAGACGTGGCTAGAGAAGTGCAAGTATCAAAAACTAAAGTGTGGCAAACGCTGCGTGAAGAGGGGCTGTATCCGTTTCACGTCCAACGTGTACAAGCCCTTCAACCTGACGATTTTCCAGCAAGAGTGCGGTTTTGTCAGTGGTTGTTGCATCAACATGACAATAATCCGGAGTTTTTGAAGTGCATATTGGTGACAGACGAATCTACGTTCACGCGTAATGGGGCGAATAACTTTCGCAACACTCATGTTTGGTCAGTAGAAAATCCGCACGCTGTCCGTCGGGCACATTTTCAACAAACATTTTCGGTGAATCTTTGGGCTGGCATGGTGAACGGTATGCTCATTGGACCATTTATTCTCCCAAATCGATTGGACGGGATGCAATACCTAGACTTTTTACGCAACATTTTGCCTTCCTTGTTGGAAGATGTGCCATTAAGTGTCAGACAATCAATGTGGTTTCTGCACGATGGTCATATTTGTTACCTCTGTTCGTGGTCTACTGGTCTGCACCACCGCCGGCGTCTGCTCGGTAGCGCATCAGCTGATTTCATTTTCTGTTGGAGCGGTATGATTTCGGGCAGAGACATACTTAGTAATTCTCGTCAACTTTAGAGTGAGTACTTTTTTCTTTATTTTTTTTACTTGGTCGCCCTCGTTTCACTACACATTACCTTTGTTATTTCAAGAGTAGTTGTTTCTGCAAAGGAAAACCCCAACTTCACGGACACCCTGTATAGTATAGAAACATTGTATGTATACTGGAAATCTATTTTGAATATGTAGGATACGAAAGAAATATGATAATAGCGATATAACGATAAACGTGAAAACATCTCATCTTAGAAGATTTCGAAGTACCCCCCCGTACCATTTCATTTTTACTACATGGGCAGTACGTAAACAATTCGATATGGGCAACAATGTCAGGGTAATATTAAAGTCACTTACTTGGTGACGAAACGACAACGAGTTATCCTCCTTTGGCAAGCGATAAGGGCGATATGATCGGATTGTCGGGGCCAACACCTATTTTTAGAAAAAGACATATGAGTAACTCCCTTATTCACATGACTCATGACATCACATGCACAAATGTACTATTTACCATTACATTAATGTATCCCAACTACTACTACGGATTCGTCATTGACTGAATCACGGGATCGTCACACAGACTAGTCTTGACCGTCACACAGGCTGATCATTAAGTCGCCACACAGACTGACTAGAAGACGTCACACAGACTGACTAGGAGTTGTCACACAAACTAACTCTTTGGTCGCTAGGTGTATGGTCAGACGTGCCTAGTTCAACAATCGTTGAAAAAAGACAGTCCAGGAACCGGGATATCACGTTGGCCAACGGCCGTTGTGTCAATACCCCAAAGCTCCGACGATACCCTGAATCAGAGATAACCGAGCAAGATGACTATCGTTAAAGTAACAATCCCTTCACACATCCTGCCATGAGATACATTCAGACTCCAGCGATTGCCAAGAGAAGATAGTTAAGCGGTCATTTAGACCTAGGACGCCACTTCGGCCAAAGGACACCGTGTCAACATCCCAAGCGCTACGATGTTCCCCCTGGTAGAGGAAACCGAGCAGTAATCAACATAACTACCTCAACCCAGCAAACGGGCTCCCAAAGTCCTATAACAACCCCCAGAACCTGGAGGCGTCCCACCTGCGGATATTCAATAACAAGTCGTAAGCCATAAATTAAAATATGAAGGTAAAAAGTATAGCATCTTTATAAACATGGCTTAAGACATTCATGATAATGAATATAAAAGTATTATGGTTATCAATACATGCAGTACAGCAGAATAAAGGAAACACTCAGTGCTTGCTCAACTTGCAGGCCACAAAGCGCACTACTTGGTCTGAGAAGTGATCTCCTCCACGCAATAATTGAACTGCATATCGCCAGCCATGCCCGTATATTTAAGAAAGTTTTTACTG